TTCTGAGAGTAGCTTGCTTATTAAGGACTTGGTATGATTGAGATCGTGCTCAAATCTAGTCTTTGGTTCTATAAAATCCATTTTGAATGTTTTGTGTGTGAAAATCCCTCCGTGTTAACAGTTGCAGTTTGCTACTGCTGATTTCTCTCGTTGTACGTTTTGCTGGTCTTTTTGATTCCACTTCAGTTAGTAATATTTGTATTTTATTATAGTTTTTAATTTTCTTACGCCTTCACTAAATTTCCACGTTTCTTCCTGAACTGCATTTATCTTGTTTTACTGGATACTTAGTCTAGGTGGCAGTCATATTGGTTTGTTCCTCCCTTTGATTGTGTTGCTTGTATTGACTGGAATTGTGCATTTTTGATTGTATATTGAAGCACTCTTCCAGAATTAGAAATACTTTGTGTTATGAAGCAACCAAATATTATCTTTTGAATGAATCTGTGCGTGGTCTATCTAGACAGAATAAAATAACATTTATTTGTTGCGATTGATGATTTTCTCGCATCCTTTATCAACCTCCTGATTAATGTAATTCAGATTTGATTAATTGAACAACTATTGGCTGGATTACTGGGTGGTCATATTTGTTTAGTTAACAATGTACATTTAAGTTTATAATGAATTTCAGAACCGTCATTTTACCCAACCACTTTGTTTTGGTTTCAAACGGGCAGGGGAGTGTATCTAACCCACTTAAATAGCTATTCTTCAGTCCAAACCTTAGCTTAGATTTAACAGATTTCTTATCAGAATATTCTCTCAACTTATGAAAAACGGCTGACCTCTCAGTGAGGTCCGTCTTAACACTTTGTGGAACACGTTCCTAAAATCGTCTCCTCCCTGCAGTCCGATTCCGAGGTCACATTCTGTTTTCTTACTTTTCTTTCCCTAGGGGTGACTGTGAGCCACTCATTTACCTTGTTTCGTCTCTTGATCACATCCTCTACACTGTTCAGACTTGGCTCCCTCGTAGTTTGCGTAGCATTGATATGTGAATCCGGAACTGAAACCTTAGATTCACATGCCTCAGTACTGTCTATGGGTATTTTCTTCTCAACGCGCTTTTTCTTTTTCCTTGTGACAAGGCCTATACCCATATGTTTATGTTCTTCCCTATTGGGGTTCACCTTTAAGGTCTCATTAAAATCTGGAGCTGGGCTCATGATAACGCTCCCAATTTCTTCGAAAGCAGGATTCTCTTCATTTACTGCTGCCTGTTTATCTAACGGCAATCGCTTAGCTATACTCAGCAGCCCAACTGCTTCTAGAATAAACAAGAACTTTGTAGAACAACGTTATAATGGCTTGAAGCACTGCTTATATGCAGCCGATGTAAGTCCGGTGCACACTATGTGATAACACTTATTTCAGTTATCACATTGCATTCCATCATGGACAGGGAAATAGCATGCCGGTCTGCCACAAAGATGTTTCAGTTGCGCCACAAATTTGTTTTATGTTCATAGTTTAAAAAATTAATGTGCCTGACAGCAATGAAAAAACCAACATCTGTAGTTACAAAATGACCTCGACATCTATGAATACATACAATACTCAATGATAAAGAATAAATACCAGTGCCTTTAGTTTTTTTGTATCTGTACTCATGAAGCACAAAAAAGGTACAATCGGGGATTGCTTTAACTGAAATAAATTGACCTAAAGCAACATTTGTAGTCTTGATGCGCAATTTAACGATCAGTACTATAAAATATAGTCAGAAGAAAAATACCACTGTCCATTTTTAATACTGCGCGTCAGTATTATTGAAAATTTGTCCTATATCATACATCATCACGATGGCTTTTTTCGTTACTTGAAGGATTGACGTTGACGAGATCATAATTTGTGAACGAGCCAATTAGGTATGAATTAATATGTCTCGGATTATGGCGATACATCAGTTTCATTTTGGAAGTGACAGGATGCTAGATGGCTTGTGTTAGTTCTGGCACTGATGGTCTCAGTTGATCCATTTTTCTTTTGAAAGCGTCGACAAATAGAGCTTAAATTATGTGTTGAGATAATGAATCCTGCTCGTTGATGGGAAAGCCAATAGTCAACTAACAAGTAATTTGTCCTGGGATTGTGAACTTTTTTGAAGTATCCTCGTAAATTCCCTGCTTTGGAAGACAAGAATAATGAGGGAATATCACATGCACATTTATCACTAAGCAATTTGAAAACTCAAATCAAGTCACCCCTAGTTCTTTGATACGACAAAGGGAATAGATTTAGCTTGACCAGTCGAGCATCATACGGAAGCTTCGCTATTCCGGGAATCAGCTTATTTACCGTTCTCTAAACCTTTTCCAAAAGCTCACTGTCTTTTTTAAGCAGGGGCTAGCCACTTGTATGCAGTACTCAAGTTTAGGACGTACGAACACTGTATACAAAGTCAAAGACGTTTTAGCGTCGACATGCCTGAAAGCCCTACGTATTGACCATAAAGTTCCAATACCTTTGGCATCTATTGCACGGTAGTGTGTAGTAGTCTTTCAGTCTTGGCTAACGATGACTCCTGAGTCATTATGTGTCTGGACAACAGGTAGCTCAGTGTCATTCATCGTGTATGTATCTGTATCTTGATGACCGATATGCATCACAATACACTTGGAAGTAATTATCGGCAACTACCAGGCTTGACACCATTGAGGCAATTTCTTCAGGTCATTTTGGAGTTCTCAGCTGTCACCATTACTTAGTATCGCTCTCCATATCTTGAAATCGTCAGCATGTAGCAAGGTCGATGATGATATTAGGCGAGAAATGTCATTTACATACAAGAGGAATAGCACTGACCGCAAAATTGTACCCTGAGGCACTCCGCTAAGCACAGTTCCCCAGCTAGATAACTTTGAGTTCACCCGTACTCTTTGTTGGCTCTCAACTGGTAAGTCTTTTATCCACATCAATAGATTGCCCCCAATCCCCACATTTCATAGCTTATATAACAGCCGGTTGTGCGGAACTTTGTCAAATGCTTTGCTGAAGTCAATGTAGGCTACGTCTACAGGTAACTTTTGGTCCTTAAGAGCGCACCAGCTTTCACGAGCCACTAATAAGTTAGTGAGAAAAGAATGACCTATTCTGAAACCGTGCTTTTTCCTCGAAAGGATCCGGTTTTCATCGAGGCACTTAAACAGCTCCTTCAGAATGATCTTTTTTAAGATTTCAACAGCCACACTAGTCAGGCTAACGGGTCAGTAATTCTCAGGTTTAGGTTGCGTACCTATTTTGAAGACAGGACTTACTATGGCGTTCTTCCGGTCTTTTGGCAAACGACCCTGCGTTACGGATAGATTAAAGCACATACTTAAAGGTTTCGCAACGAAGTTAGATAATTCCTTCAGTAGCCTAGGGTACAATTCATCGGGCCCCGTGGATTTACCTATGTGAAACATATTTATCAGACCAAAGACATCGAGTTATCTAATGGTCACGCTGTCCAGTGCTTGTGAGGGCATTTGTGTTGACTGACGGGAAGGGTGTTTCCACGTTATAAACATTGCTAAAGTGGTTTGAGAATACTTGAGCCTTACTAAAGTCGTCCTCCACTAATGATGAAGCAGAACTGTCTCCCCATAGTGCAGGAATATTTCCTTTTCTTTTTGTCCCTTGGTTTATATAGAAACACAAGCGTTTAGGACATTCTATGGATTCCTTAACAATTTCCTCTCCGTACAAATTTCCAGACTTATGGAAAGTCGAGGCACTGGTATTCCGAGCTGCTCGATACTGAGATTTTGTCTCATCAGGCCCTTATGGCCTGGATCTATCCAAGTTTTTCTCCTCTCACGGAGAAGGATGCGAACCTCCCTACTGAACCACGGTGGAGAGTTTCCCGGCCCGCTTGGTGTAGTTCAAGTGATGTGGGGTGCGGTGACTTTTAGGCATAAATTTCGAAATACGTTGCAAGTTGTTTCGTTTGAGGACTCTGGCTCTATTGTCCAATCTACTGTCGATGCTGAGTGCATGATATCTTGTATGTTTGCTTTTCAGACGTTACGTCCAGATTGAGCTGACGCGTGCTCGTGATTGACAGTTATATGGGAGTCAAAAGTTAGAACTGCATGATCACTTTTATCAAGGGGTGGCATGTAATCGAGGTTTGCAGCATCATCCTCATAGTCATTCAATATAAGATCTAGTAAGGATGATTCGGAGTCTGGGTCGTACCTAGTCGCTTCTTTCACATTTCGAACTAGGGCATATGTGATAGGCGCATCAACTAGTTCCTGCTCGAAGGAGTTATCTGACAATTCAGTTCGCAGTTCTTCCCGGTCTACCATTAGTGCATTAAAGTCCCCTAGGATTAGACATCGACCATTTTGTGACAAAGTATTGAGACTGCTTAGCAGGACTTCATCTACCTCACAGCTTGGACTGCGATAGACCAAACCAATCAGCAGCTCTTGTCTCTCGCATTTTAAGTGGCAACTAACTAATTCACATGTCCCAATCTCATGGGATACATTCATTCATTTATTTGACTAAATAGAGTTCTGGCATTATAGCTTATGTCACTTCGTGATGAAAAGCATAAATCCAATTCCTAACCTTGTAGCGTGATGTCGAGTCGAGGTAGACTATGAACACCACTATAAAGAAACACGTGCCAAATAAATCAGAAGGCGAAGATTGAATGTAACCAAATTTATTCGTTGGCGATCGCGTGGTATCGAACGAATACCAAGATCGTGCCAAGAAAAGGTACAAGCGGAGTGGGTAGGAGAAAGTACGTGCGAAGAAGGTCACGAACCACGGAACAGTAATGGAAAGTAATGGAAGCACAAAATGTCTGTCATTAGCACAGTTAAACAAAAGCACATTAAAACAAGGACAGGTACGATTAGTTGTAAAAATAATAGTTTTCATTAAAACAATCGCGTTCTCGTGATAAAAGTAGGTCACTACAACCTTAACCATCAAATGTAAATTATAATCCCTATTCTTCAAACTGCTTTATAATCCTCATTTGGTTCTAGTTATTAGGCGGGTACTCTCAAGGTCATTTTGTAGTCTCTCAAAGGTCGTCCGTAAATTCGTCTCACCCCTTACAAATTGTCGCGGTGACGCACCAATCGTTTTGTGATGGCTTGACCTTCAAGTGCTCAGTGACCTCCATCAGTGGACGATACCCTGAGGATCGTCCTGGTTGCTGAAATCGGCGTAAAAAATGACAAGCTTTGTCAAACTGATCTGCTTCCAATTCTCATCAGTAAAGCTAAGCATCTTACGTTTCCCCTATCAACAATGGCCAGTAAGGCCATATCGTTCAGCGAGTAACAGCTCTATCACCCCATCAGAAAAACGTGAAAACCTTCCACTAGTTAGTGTAACTGAGAAAGGTATTTCAAAATAATGTTTTGGATTTCTGAAAAGTGAAGCAAACGACTAAAGATGTTGGGTATTTTACGGTAGTTCTTGGTGGTTTTGCGCTTACAGGTGAGAAATGGATTGCATAACTAATAGTTGTAATCAATAGGCACCATCTTATATGCAATAATTCAGGAACTTTTTTCATCCAAAAGCCCTAATGGTGTTTATGACGATGCCTTCAAAATTTGTAAGACTGACAGTCGAGTGCGTTTATCGTAATCAGAAAATAATACTCCATCTAATTAATTCTCAGGTGCTTGATCTTTTTGGAAGTTCTCTCAAGGCCCGTACCAGCCCCGATGGTCGTCGTAGAAGACAAAATATTGCGTAAGATAGTCTTATTTATCGCACTCAGCAGCGTCGACAATCTTTTGATTCGTAATGTTCACTATTTACAAGTAACTGAATTTCTGCATTCATGACTATTGTGACTATAAGCTGACACCGTAAGTTGGTGGATTATAATCTGGACAGGGGAACCGATTGTTTTGATAGTTATCGCTTTGAAAAATCAAATATCAGACATATATTTTGTGGGGAAACCCTCCCGAAACTCGTCAATACTCCTGCTTAGTTGATTTACACAAATCTTATTCAAAACCGATGTAGCCTTACTTCCGTCTCGAATCTTCAATATACCGTGTTCGATTATGGTTTATCAATAAGCTAACTTTGTTAAAAATATTTGTGTGCTGACCTGATTGTTGTGCGTGCAAACGTTGCCTGTGTTAATGTGTACCGTTTCACCAGGTTCATAAAGTCAGTTAAATCTTCCTCATCTGGTCAAATTAGCTTACTAGAATTTACCCCTAAAGATTAAGTAATCTCAAAAGATCTATCGACTTCTGGTCTAGCTTATTATTTCTAAAACACGAGCATTTAGCTATGTAAATTATCAGAAAAAGCAAGTCGTTAATAATTCACCTTAAGAGAAGCAACATAAGCTATGTGTTGGTTTTCATCAGTAAATATAAGTTCGTGAGTTTTAGTCCACATCGATCGTTTTACTAATCAAAATACTCACTGGGTAACAATAAAACTACAAACTAAAAGATGTTTTTTTTACTGTGTCCTGGTTTAAAATAGGTGAGGATTATCCACCAGTCCACAAAATCTGACTTATTTTGAAGCCTTAGAGTAAAATATTCATACTGTTCAATATATTCTACAAGTTAGATTAAAATTATGATCTTGAGTGGTTGAGTAGCATATCAATTCCATTTGGCTAGTGCCTTAAACCAACATTAAAGTGTTACTAAAATATACTATACTTATTCATACACTAACCTAATTCAGATTTTGTGAGTCTAATGAAAAACCAATGAAATAAAACATTTAATGGATCATACTTTGATTACGTTATCCAGACCGTTCAACATGTATCAGTTAGTACTGTATTACAATCTAGTTTTACATCGCTAACCGCTATCGTTATTTCAAGTTTCATGTTGGTCCAATTAGTTGTCGTCTAACCTAGCATCGGCCCACACTATGTGAGGACTAGTGATACTAATTGACTTCCCAAGCTGTGTTAATTGAAGTAGGATTTGAACCTCCGATTTGTTTGAAAGACAAGTGGTTCGATCATTAGGCCATATCTATACACTTCTATTCATTACATTAATAAACCATATCATCGTGTAATTAAATAACTAGCTTACCGTAACTCCTTATCTATGTCAACGATTGACTCCTGATTTTCTTGTCCACAAAACTCCTAGCTATGACTCATGGCATGATGACAAAGGTCGACTGCATATGGCAATGAAATTTTACATTAAAGGCAATTTGGCATCTGGTGTAGTTCATCTCGAGGTTGTTGAAGTGAGTTGTTTTTAACATTCGATGTAACCTTGTTGCAACATTCATCGATAATCTTTGCTAATTTTAAAGATATTGAAAACGTTTGTATTCCTTGTAAGATAAAGCAACACCGATGCGGGTATTATTTCAAATCTCAAATAAATGAACCTAAATAATGAGCAAAGTATATGTCTCAATAATCATTATTCACATTCAAATTATATCTTAACTACCAATGTCACATCCTTAATATGACCCCTTAAAACTCCTGCACAAAACTAACCAATGAAGTTACTGCTTACTAGCATGAGAAGAACAGGATTCTTAGTTTAATCCTTTGAAACTCAAGAAGCCTGTGATTGCAGACCCCGAGTGATATGGTTCAAAGCAAGTCATTCTGTCCTTATTCCAGAGCATTTTATTATCTTACAATAAGTTGCTTTGTCTGTTCATTTTAATACATCCTTCCTTTCGTTGACAATCTTCTTTGTTAGGAAAAATGATGTTGACTGGAAGCAGTACACTTTTCTACACGGTTTTATATTTTATCTACCCTTTGCCTTTTTCTGTGTAACTACGTCAGTCAGTCAGTAACAACGTAGAATTTCTTACGTACGTACATCAGTTCAAGTTGCCATACCACATTAGCACAGAGATACAATTTTCAATTCAAATCCCGTAGTGGTAAAGGTAGTAAGAGTATAAGCAGTAATCGGAAAGATTAGGGTTTGATGATGTTATTCAAGAAGTATAATCCAGTGAAATAAATTTGGAAAGAGAAAAAGGGAGACAAGAATTCAGAAGATTAGAATTTGGGAGAACACAAAGAGTGGATACACCTGCGCCATTGCAAACGATTTTGAACCATGTCATTCAAGGTCTCTAACCATCGGTCGCTATCGTCTCGCGGATCCCAACCAGGTAGTCTACACCTACCAGCATGACTCAGTCCTCTTGTCAGCGACTTCATGGATTCGTGCCATGTTTTGGTTTGGCCACCCCTAGCTTTCTTCCAACCTACACCATAAAACATCGCACGTCGGGGCATTCGGTGGTTTGGCATACGTAACAGATGTCCCAGCCATCTCAACTGATGGAGTTTCACTACTTCATCAATTAATTTGCCATCCTTACTAGTACCCATTTCTTAACAACTACATTAATTACTCGGTGGTCCCAGGATATACCAGCAATGTTTCGAAGACACCTACGATCAAATACTAGTAACCTACGGATATCCTCTACTCTTACCGGTCATGTTTTACTGACATAAAGTAGGACAGAACGAACTGCAGTGAACACGTCCTTTGGTTGGTAGACGGATATCTCGCCTAAGACATATATGACGCAAGTTGGTAAAAGCTAGTCGAGCCTTCTGTATCCGTGCTGAGGTTTCGTCACACACCAGACCACAAAGGCTGATGAGACTTCCAAGATAAGTGAAGCGATCGACACGCTCAATTACTTCACTCCCTATCATTAGTTCGGGTGTCGATGCAACCCAATCCTGAAGCAACATTTTGCATTTGGAGGGGGAGAATCGCATCCCGAACATGCTTGCATTGTTGCTTAGAGTGGTCAGAAGACTCTGCATTTTGTCAGCATCTTCACCAAATAGAACTATGTCGTCGGCATATTCCAAGTCAACAAGTGGACCTCTCGGTAGAAGTTCAACCCCTGGGAATCTAGACGAGAAAAGTGTTATCTCTAAAAGTACGTCAACGACAAAGTTGAACAAGAATGAAGAGAGTGGACAGCCCTGACGAACACCACTTGAGGTAATCAATTCTGATGACAGCTCGCCACAAGCTCCCACTTGACCAGTTATGTTCGAGTAGAGTTAATGCACTTCTTTGGTACTACTTTCAGTGACAAGCGCTGCCATAGAACCTCACGATCAACAGAGTCGAATGCTACTTTAAGATCGAGAAATACTACGATTGTGGGGCGTCTGAATGTGTGTGTATGTATTAGGACTTGACGTAGTGTGAATATTTGGTCGAAAACCAGCCTGATTTTCTCTAGTCTGTTCTTCACGAGCTTTGGTTAGGCGTCGAAGTATTATTGAATCTAATATTTTAGACACTATATTAGTCAAACTGATTCCTCTGTGATTGTCACAAGAGGACTTTTGTCCTTTCTTGTAGACTGGCACAATCAGTGATTGAGACCAGTCAGAGAGAAATACATCCAGTTCCCAAATTCTACCTAAGACCTCAGTCAACCTCACTGCTAATACTGGACTGCCATCCTTAAAAATCTCAGGGTTAAACGTATCAGAGCCTGCTGCTCTCCCACGCTTCAAATTTCTTATAGCTTTTTCAATTTCGTAAGGAGTTGGGGGACTTACATTAACTTGCCATTCAGGTCGACTGGAGATCGTGGGAAACCAAAGTGTGGCTGAAGACCAGTTGAACTGATCCCTAAAGTTTTTTGCCCATCGATCCACTCTCCTGGATTGGGAGTGAATAATATTATGTCCATCTTTTTCGGAGATAGTTGTGTAACTACGTATTTGGATGACTTGCGAAAAGCATTCAATCTAAAATATTCAAGCAACATAGATATGTTCAACTGGGACACTATGATGTTCTTGGCTACTAAGCAATGAAAGTAAAAATCTATATTTAAAAAAGTGTTCACCATGTATTGTTTTTTAGTGTAAAATTGTAGTCCAACTCCAGTTTGCACCCGCATGTTTATTAAGAGTGCTGAACGTCCCAACTGTACTTAGTTTTCAGTTTAATTTTGAAATCAGTGTCATAAATTACACATCTAGTGACGAATAGAGTAAAAGTACAAACACTCGAAGATTTTTGGATTATAAAAAAATAAGCCATAGGAAGCATTAACCAAGCAGAAAAATTCCAACCAACTAGTCTTTCCTCAAAATAAAATCAGGACTAACATCTATCTTTAAATGTCTGTACTGTTAATAATGTCAAGTTGCAACATAGCTTTAGATGCTATTCTGTCCTAATACATATGGTTTTTGTGATACTTGTGTTTCCCAACAGTAACTGAACTTGGGTTCCTGAAACGGAGGTATAGTCATCGTATTATTATTTCCAACAGTTAAATCGAACTATTTTTTTCTATAAATCTTCAGTTGTCCAGTCTTTATCGAATATTCGGAATTTTCTCGTAATAACAACCTGTTATTCAAACAACATTAATTGTTTTCCAAACTGTATAGAAAAACTTACTCATCGCTACTTAAATCTGAAAACACTAGTGTATTGGTAAGAAACCTTCGTACATTTCACATCCCGCAGCATAATTGTTTTCATTGTAATAATTCGAAGTGGTATACATTTTTGGTAGATCATACATCCTCCGCCTGTCCAAAATTTTCTATTCGCTAGCTTCTTAAATAACCATTCAAATGAATACAATGAAAGTGAGTTCCATGAGTCTGCGTTTAAACCACATACCTTATTTCGCGATTTAAAATGTAGAGATAGGCATCTTTTTCATAATGAACAAATCAGTCTCATCATATTGACTTTCCCGTGGTACGGCTGAGGGTGAGGAGAGTCTGGCGCCTTAACCGGGTTAGCGGATTTGGAGTATCCACCTAGAGGAGTTAGAAAACCATGATTCCAAACTAATGGTGTACATAGGCTCCAGGATCTTGAGCGAACAAAAGGCATATGAACCAGTTGTTAGTTACAGGCTACCATGGGACTGCATCCTAAAGTTGCTTCACTACCTTGTAGATTAGACCTTCAGGTCAAAGGCTCCGGGTGTGGACCCCCAAGGAAACCTTTTACTTCAGTTTGGGCACCCAGGCAATTTCACAGCCCTCACACTGATCAGCGATAACTGCTACTGGTCTCATTGTTATCGTGCGGCGCGTATGTATTTGGTGCCCCCTTGTACCTATGTTTGTGTTCAAATAAGTAAATAACTACTGTTTGCATTCCCAAAATCTCCAAATCCAAATTTTCAATCCTATTCTCTGCAATAAGAAATATGTGTTTGGAATTTATACTACTTACCACTGGAAAGTAGATAAATGTACGACTTCCTTTTGAAAAACTAGTTACTATTTCTTTACACAGTTAAACACAGTCGTGGATAAATAAAAAGGTTTGCTCTTCTTTTGTTTTTCTTTTTCTCATCTAATCAGAATGAATCTAAAGAATTTGATTATCGATATCTGATTGTAGAAACAGAAGGTGGTTTCTCAAAGAAACAAATTATACTTCGTTCGTTCTCGGAAGTTGATAATCCTAATTTATAAGTGATCAATGATTAAATGCACTAGAAAGAAATGCAAATTTCATATCATTTTGTATACATGAATAATTCCACATGTATAATTTATACATATTTAGCCGATATAAAATTTTCTGTTCATATTTTTTCTAGTGGGTAATTAAATCAAACCATCTATCGTTTGCCTTATATACACATGGCGCGTTTCATTGCCTTTATATTCATAAGAGTGAACAAGATTCTTAGGAACTTGAAGTGATTATAATCGGCGTTTAATGCTTTCACACAAATTGAATGATTTGTATAACGCATACATATTTGGTGCCTCATACCAGTGTTTACGTATTAAAATAAATAAGTAAGTTTAATGCTATCCTCTTAACCTAATTAGTTCGTGAGCACGTAAACCTTTGACTGAGGTACCTAGGATAAGTGTTACGCATCCACAATCATCATCTACCCCGACACGTAATTCTGTCTGATGGAAAAGTAGGTTATGGAAAGGACATAGCACTAAGTATGAGGGCGTAACAAGCACTGTTAGAGTGGATCCCCGTTAACAGTCGTTTATGTGCTGTTCGGCTAAACGGCTCCGTAAGAACTCGGAAAGATAGGGACACACGTCGTTGCCTTTTTGTCGTTTCTGCCTACGCTCCCACTCACTGCAGCTCGGATGAAGTGAAAGATGAATTTTACAGAAAGCTAAACGTTCAGATATAGTACTCGTAGCAGGTGACTTTAATGCCCAGATAGGTAGTTTAAACCAAACAGAAAGGCATTTAGGTGGGTATTTTAGTATACCGGCACAACGAATAGATAATGGTAATCGTCTGCTGCAACTATGCTCAGACAATCGTTTATTTTTAGCAAACACAAATTTTAAGCATAAGGAGAGACATCGTCTAACATGGTGACCCCCTACACCAAACCAACGATGGACTCAAATAAACCATATTGCCATCAGTCATCGTTGGAGAGGGTCGGTAGAAGATTGTCGCTCATTCTGGAGTACCTGCTTGGACTCCGACCACGCCCTAATACGGCACGCATCTGCTTGTACCTCACTGGACGCGAAAAATCACATTAAAAAGACCCGTTAGAACTTAATTGAGTAACGGGAAAAGCAAAAGTAGGTTTCAGGAACAACTGAGGTTACACTTAAGTAGTTCTGAAAACGAGGCTGACCAAGATGTTGCTTGGAAAGATATACAAACAGCTATGGGAACAGCAATGACACCTATTAGTGATTTAAACCACAGAGTTACAAAGAACTAATGGGTTTTCTCAAGGTCTATTGCACTGATGGATTCTCACAAATTCATTCCATCAGGTTCTGAACACGATGAAGAGCGTAAACAAATCAGGTCTAGGTTAAGCAAAGGTATAAGGAACAACCGTGAGCAGTGGTGGGCAATGAAAGCAAAAGAGATGGAAAAGGCGGCGACTATAGGGAACACAAGACAGCTCTACAGACTAATAAAAGAAACTGGAACTAATAAGTCAAGTGTGAGATTATTTCGGAAAAAGACGAAACCCTCATCTGCTCTCAGTCCAGACGTTTAGAACGATGGGCGGAACAGTTCAGCTACTCTACAACTACCCTCCATTCCCAGACAGTGTGAACGGAATATTGGAGTAGGTCCCGCAACTCTTGCTGAAGTTGAGAAGGCTATAGTTAATCTGAAACGAGGAAGGGCAGATGGATTAGCTCCAGAGGTCTTTAAGGATGGTGGTCCAATTTTAGCGATTAGGTTGACTAACATTTTAGCTAAGATCTGAGAGTTAGGCGTTATTCCATCTGATTGGTCACAATCACTTATCGTCCCAATATATAAGAGAGGGTAAAATCATCCTGTGACAACCATAGAGGGATTAGTTTAACTAACATAGTATCTAAAATACTAGCCTCGATAATTATCGGATGCCTAACTAAGACTCGTGAACTGAAAACACGAGAGAATCAAACTGGCTTAAGACATGGTCGTGGCTTCATCGACCATATATTCACCATTCGTCAGGTTCTAGAACATAGGCATACTTATCGGTGTCCTACAATGGTAGTCTTTCTTGACCTAAAGGCAGCATATGACTCCGTAAACCGCGAGATTCTGTGACAGTATCTGTCATTGAAAGGCGTACCTCAGAAGTACATAAACCTTGTAAAGGCTCTTTACTCGAACACTACCAGTCGAGTCAGAGCTTATGGCGAACTGTCATCTGCTTTTGAAACCTCAAGTGGTGTACGTCAAGGCTGTCCACTTTCTCCATTTATGTTTCAACTTTATCATAGACCTACTAATGGAAATAACATTCTCGTCGACTGAATTCTCAGGTATTGATCTCCTTCCAGAGGGTCCACTTATCGACCTAGAATACGCAGATGACATAGTCCTGTTTAGTGAAGACGCTGATAAAATGCAAAGTCTTCTAGTAGCACTAAGCAACAATGCCAGAATGTTTGGAATGCGCTTCTCTCTCTTTAAATGCAAGTTCTTGCTTGAGGACTGGTTTGCGTCAACACCTGAACTAAGGATAGCGAGTGAAGTAGTCGAACGCGTTGACAACTTCACTTATCTTGGAAGTCTGATCAGCCCTAATGGGTTGGTGTCTGACGAAATCTCAGCACGGATTCGAAAAGCTCGCTTGGCTTCTGCCAATTTACATCACTTATGGCAAAGGTGAGATATCCGTCTATCAATAAAAGGACGAGTATACTGCGCGGCAGTCCGTTCTGTTTTAATTTTCGGCAGCGAAACATGGCCATTAAGAGTAGAAGACGCTCGTAAGCTACTAGTATTTGACCATAGATGCATTAGAAATATTGCTGGGATCACCGGGTAAGTAATAGTGAGGTTAGACGCAGTTTATTAGGGAATGATGGTAAATCAGTTGATGAGATTGTGAATCTTCATCGACTGACATGGTTGGGCTACGTGTTACGTATGCCTGAACACCGATTACCACGACGCGCAATGCTGACTAGTGTTGGGGATGGTTGAAAGGAAGTTAGGGGCTGCCAAACCAAAACGTGGCATCAGTGCTTGAAGTCACTATCTTCTAGTCTGAGTCATGTGGGTAGATGCAGACTACTTGGTTGGGGTCCACGTGACTATCGTAACCACTGGTTGGAGACTCTTGGTGACATGGCTCAGAATCGATCACAATGGTGTAGGTGAATTCACTCTCTATCTTCCCTTAATCTAAGAGATTAAAATCGCTTCATGTCTTTCTATGAACTAATTCTTTCTTCCTGTACTATATCCTCATATGCAATCTTTCTTTTATATATTACCACCTCTGAATTAACTACTTTTATTAATCCGGTGTTCATCTTGTTGTGTTAATGAGGTATGGCAACTTGGACCGGTGCATATATATACCTGGTCCTATGTTGTAGCTGACTGACTGACTGAGGTTATGGAGAAGCCAGGGGTGACCAAACTAAGGATACTGCGCGGCAGTCCGTTCTGTTTTAATTTTCGGCAGCGAAACATGGCCATTAAGAGTAGAAGACGCTCGTAAGCTACTAGTATTTGACCATAGATGCATTAGAAATATTGCTGGGATCACCGGGTAAGTAATAGTGAGGTTAGACACAGCTTATTAGGGAATGATGGTAAATCAGTTGATGAGATTGTGAATCTTCATCGACTGAGATGGTTGGGCTACGTGTTACGTATGCCTGAACACCGATTACCACGACGCGCAATGCTGACTAGTGTTGGGGATGGTTGAAAGGAAGTTAGGGGCTGCCAAACCAAAACGTGGCATCAGTGCTTGAAGTCACTATCTTCTAGTCTGAGTCATGTGGGTAGATGCAGACTACTTGGTTGGGGTCCACGTGACTATCGTAACCACTGGTTGGAGACTCTTGGTGACATGGCTCAGAATCGATCACAATGGTGTAGGTGAATTCACTCTCTATCTTCCCTTAATCTAAGAGATTAAAATCGCTTCATGTCTTTCTATGAACTAATTCTTTCTTCCTGTACTATATCCTCATATGCAATCTTTCTTTTATATATTACCACCTCTGAATTAACTACTTTTATTAATCCGGTGTTCATCTTGTTGTGTTAATGAGGTATGGCAACTTGGACCGGTGCATATATATACCTGGTCCTATGTTGTAGCTGACTGACTGACTGAGGTTATGGAGAAGCCAGGGGTGACCAAACTAAGGAATACCATTAGTCCACAAAGTCATAAAGTACCGGTCTGAGCCGCTCTAACAGATCAAAATTGTCTGATTGGTGTATGCAGAATAATTGTGAACAGTGGTTAGGGACCTTACGTGATAGCTTAGAATCAGTTATGGTAGTTCAAATCCATCTATTCGGTATTTTTCCTTAAGTGTTGATCTTTATATACTAATCTGTGAATTCATTCCGAATTTCCAAAGCATATTTTCTATGTTTAACCTACTTACTGTTATCTTGATCCTTTGATGTTCATCCTGTTAATTTCATCTCTATATTGATATGATGTGAAAACTTGAGCCGTTTGACATTTGTCCTAGGTTACACGCTGATGATGACCGACTTAGTGTAGTGTTTTCTACTATTTAAACGTGGTAATCTTGTTTGTCTACTGTGAAAATCTATCTTATAAGTAGAATACTGGTTTATTAAAACGTTTGCTTCATGGACAGACCGCTTGAAAATAAATTTACCAAAAATATTAAACTGTAGGATCGCGGTTAAAATCTCAGTGTTGACTCTATTAAAATATCATAAATAAGCAGTATCCTCACTTAAATTTGTTATAGACAGGAACTGTTTAAAATGGGTTTCACTGAAATAAAAATACTGTCTTCTTATGGGTTAAGACTTACTCAACCAACACTACAAATAAGCTGTATGTAACCGGTGTTAAGTTAGACTCTGGTCATCTTCATAAAATAACGATACCAGCAACCCTAATATCTTTTTGTCATATTATTTGATAGAACATCGTATTTATATATGTAGTCGATAAACGTTAATCGCCCACGGACCTTCAGAATTGCTTTAAAAACTTTTCTTAGTCTCCTAAATTCTGTGTTGTTTCTATCAATAGACCTTTATTTGCATTTATTATGAACTGTCATCATGTACTAAACTCGAAATTCGATTATATTAAAGAAAATAA